GGAAGGAAGGAAGGAAGGAAGGAAGGAAGGAAGGAAGGAAGGAAGGAAGGAAGGAAGGAAGGACAATAGCAATAGTCCTTGGACTTCACAGTACTTTACAGCCCTCTCTAAGCTGTTTACGGAGTCAGCCTCTTGCCTCCAACAACAACAAGTTCTAAAATTTAGACTGAAAGAGTGGTTGGTTTTAATTTAAGTAGATGGACTGGCAGCTGGCAAGAATTCTAACTCTATCTGCCTATTTTTAGTTTCTTTTTAACAAGGAGAAAGGTTGTGTTGCAAGTAGAGAGCTTCTGACAGTATCTTGAGTTCCCAAGAGACCATTGGACCTCACGCAACTCCCCACAGGCATGCTGGGAAAATCAATACGGTGGGTTGGTTGGCTCAAAAGCAGGCATGCAATCAACCTCCCTTCACGTGACGGATCAATCCTAGCATAAGCATCTTTGCTTGAGGATTGCATTTTGCCCAACAGAGTTCACAACAAAGATCTCACTCTTGATTGTGATGCTTGGTGGAGATTTTGGTGGCACAGAAGTTGAGCAAACTTATTGTTTGGGTTAATTTTAGAGCATGGTATGTGGATCAAACCTAGAAATGGAGTTGTTGGGTTTTCTTTTTTCCTTTCTCTGTTCGATGGGATGTAATATGTGTCCTTCTTCCAATGGAGTTGATGGGAAGCATCCAGCAGGGGGCGCTCTTTCCACTGCTAAGGCTTGATTTTCTTTTCTGTTTCAACTTCTCTTCCATTCTTTTTCTCTTTTCTCACTTCTCTTTCTCTTCTCTTGTTTCATTTCTATTTCTCTTCTCTTGTTTCTCCTTCTCTTGTTTCTCTTTCTCTTCTCTTCTCTTTCCTCTTCCCTGGAAGAATTGCATGGGGGTAACATCCAAAATAGCTCATTCCCAAAGGAGATGTTGGTTTTGTTTTGATTTGGTATTTAGAAATCAATCACTCTGATCTCTAAGCCACAGTTCCTTTGCTCTGTGTTCTGATACTTTGTATGTGAGTGTGTGTGTGTGTGTGTGTGTGTGTGTGCAGTCAGGATACTCACTGTTAGAAATTCATGGTTTCAGGGGTGGCCAGTTGAACAGAAAGTACAGCAACCTTGATGTTGTGCATGACAACAATCCCAGGGTCTATTCTGGCCTCTCCAATAGCTCTGGAAAGAATTTGTAGGGAATGCCAGGTTTCCAACGCCAACCCTTCTCTCAATCCGCTCAATTAAAGACCGTGGAAGTTCGCACAACATACTTAACTGGATTAGAGTTCCAGGGAGTGTGTTTGCAAAACAGATTGAGCTAGCTTGGTGTTATCTATAGCAGTTGTGTGTGCCTGGGTGTGTGAGGAAGGGGGCTGTGGGTTTTTGTAGTTATGTAAACCCAGCATGTTTGGTTGATGATTGTTGCAATGTGTTATGCAAACCTTGAAAAGGGATTAATTCAGCCATCCAACCATCTTGCATGAATCCAAATAATGGAGGAGTAAGGAATCCTGAGCCTCCCATACACACTTATGTTTGAAATAAATATCACAATACTCCCTTGGGATTTTGGAGAAATCTTGCTTGGGTGTGTTTTTTTTTTTTAGTGTTTTTTTTTACATTTTTTTTGAACTGGCAATAATTAAGTTGCAGGCCTCAAAGGAATAAGAAAAATGCCTCCCTTTTATTCACTATCTTCTCAGGATTGACAGCTAGTCAAGCATAGTTTGCTCTCTTCCTTCCTTGCTGTTTAATTAACCAGTACAAATTGGAGTCCGGTAACCTCAGAAACGCTTGCTCAACAAAACTAGGCAGTTTTTGTTTCCTTTGTTTGTGGCTCTGAATATATTGTGACTTCTCACTCCAACAGAATCCCTAGAGGGCAGATTGGTGGGGTAGGAACCAAAAGTGAGAGTCTAAAACAGATATTGGAATACAAGAGGAGGAGGAGGAGGAGGAGGAGGAGGAGGAGGAGGAGGAGGAGGAAGAGGAGGAGGAGGAGGAGGAGGAGGAAGAGAGGAAGGAGGAGGAGAAAGGACAGTTGTTCTCCATTCTGACACTGATGTTGATAGAGAAGAGGAGGAAAAAGAGAAAAGGAGAAAGAGGAAGAAATATCTTCTCTTTGAAGATGAGGATGAAGATGAAGAGGAAAAGATCAAAGCTGATCTTTTTTTTTAATCTTCACACATGACTGTCCAATGTCTTGCTACTTCTGAGGGCCCTCAATTTATAGTTTTCACCTCCAATGAAGTGAAGAATGAGCAAGGCAAGGAGAAAAGATGACGACATTCCTTTGGAAAGATGCGAAGATGGCCATCATTTCACCCTTCAGTTGGTCTCTCCAGATGCCAGATGCACTCCTGGGCAAATCTACCAGGAGGCCATGAATTTCATGATGTCATTTATCCATAACATTTGACACTCTCTTGTCCTTCCAAGTTGAGGTTCTATTTACAAAGCTGTTCGCTCCCTCAAATGCGTAGTGGGTTTACAGTCCATATCCTAAGTGAATGGTTTTTTGAAGACCCAGAGGCTTTAGGGTGGAGAGGCTGAGTAGTAGTGTAGTGGTACTACTAGTAGTGTAGTGTACTACTAGTAGTGTACTGTACTACTACTAGTAGTGTAATAGTAGTGTTGTAGTATTACTAGTAGTAGTGAGCCAGTGGTGTGCAGCCACCGCCAAAAAAGCCAATGTAATCCTAAGTTGCATTAACAGAGGGATACAATCAAGATCAAGTGTGGTACTAATACAATTCTATAAACTAAAGCCTTAGTAAGACCACACCTAGAGTACTGCATCTAGTTTTGGACACCACACTATAAAAAGGATGTTGACACTCTAGAAAAAGTGCAACCAGGATAATGGAGACTAAAACAAATGAAGAGAAGGACCAGGGGAGACATGATAGCAGTCTTCCAATATTTGAGGGGCTGCCACAGAGAGTAGGAAGGGGTCAAGCTATTTTTCAAGGCGCCCGAAGGAATAATGGATGGAAACTGATCAAGGAGAGATTCAACCTGGAAATAGGGAGAAATTTTCTGACAGTGAGAACAATCAACTAATGGACCAGAAGTTGCCTTCGGAAGTTGTGGGAGCTCTATCACTGGAGGCTTTCGAGAAACGACTGGACTGCCATTTGTCAGAAATGGTGTAGGGTCTCCTGCTTGGGTGGGGGCATTTGGACTAGATAACCTACAAAGTCCCTTCCAACCGTAATAATCTGTTAAATCAAACAAAGAAGCCCTCCTCCTCCTCCACCTACCCTATATCAATGTCGGTTTGTTTCATGTGCTGAAGTCAATAGGCCTGGAAATTGGATTGCGTGTACAGGCTGTGTGTGTGTATGGTTGAGTGTTGAAAGAGGAGGCAACCCTGTGAAAGGCTTTTGAGAATTGTGCATGAACACACCTGCGTCTCTGCTTTGGATGAGAAGCAGCCCACTCTTGTCTATTCTTCAAGGTGTGACTCAGAAGCACCAGCTGCCCTTGTTCGATGTAGCTTGCAATTCACCTCCCAATTACTTGACCCCAAGAACCAAACCAAGCTATTGATAGAAATGCTAGAACCCAAAAACGCACTTGGGTGCCTTAAGGTGAGCTCAGGTGTTTTAAGGACTCAGCCACTTCACATGACTCAGACTGTGCCCGTAGCGAAAGAGGCGTACATTGCTAAGAAAACACAATTTCTCCTATCCTTAAGACCCAATGGGGCTCCTGGTCTTAAGCCAGGAAGGAGGTGGTACATGGGATGGGAAGGACAACAGCTGTGCTTCTTCAGGGCCTGTCCTGCCCAGAGGTAATAGAGGATTAAAAGCATCTCTAAATGATTCCTCCACTACCCCAGTTAAATCTAACGCCATTTATTAGCTCTGGGTTAAGCTGTTGGTTGTTGTTGTTAGTTGTGAAGTGGTGTCCAACCCATTGCAACTCCATGGACAACATTTCTCCAGGCCTTCCTGTCCTCTACTATCTTCTGGAGTCCATTGAAGCTCACACCAACTGGTCCAGTGACTCCCTCCAGCCACCTCCTTCTCTGCCATCCCCTTCTTCTTCTTCTTCTTTTGCCCTCCATCGTTCCCAGCATTACGGCTCTTCTCCAGGGAGTCCTTCCTTCTCATGAGGTGGCCAAAGTCTTT